GTAGTAGACCTGTTGTCCTGTCGAGTAGGTGTACTGGACTGCTTGATGCTGTCTGAGGAGTGCTTGGCGTAGTCGGGCATCATTGTCTGCTTCGATCACTGAACTGGCTGCTTGTTTCTGCATGCTGAGCTTCTGTTCCATGGCTTCGGTCGAAGTCAGCGGTGCTGTTGTCAAGTCGTGGTCCAGGACACCAGGGATGCGTGGCTGCATGCCGATTGCGGGGCTGAAGCCTTGTACATTCGATGCGTGGTTGATTTGTGGGATCACATAGCAAAGTGCTTGCGCGATCTGCTCTCGGATGCTCACGCGCTGATCGACGTCCTGCTTCTGTTGTTGCGCTGCTGTGAATAGCTCGATGCCTCGTCGAAGGACTTGGTGTCGTCGTTCGAGTATGCCTAGCCGTGTGTGGGCTTGGCCTGGAGAGATCTTGAGTTGGATGCCGTGGTCACTAGTCCATGTTCTTGTAGTATCTGAGCTCCATCCTCGATGGGTGTCAACTTGCAGAGCTGGTGGACCAAAGTGTCTGATCCATCCTCGCTCAAGTCCTCGGATGAAGTCATCCGATTGTTCGGAGTCGATGACTTGTGCGGACATGAACTTGGTTGCGGCATCGATCACGCTGAGGGCTGGTACTGCTTGTGGTCTGTGTCCGCCGTGTCGTCGTGGTAGGTGGACCCAAACTGTGTCGGCTTGGACTCGGCTGTTGTGAAGCTTCCTCCAGTACGGAGGGTGCTCTTGGAGACTTGTGGCGGTGGTCGATGTGCATCACATAGTTGGCAGTGGTGCTGAGTGCTGCTGGACTGCCATTCTTGCTCTTGAGGAGCTTGGTCAGCCCGAGGTTGGTTGGATGTCCCCGGTTCCTGTGAATGCGCTGGACTGTTCTCTTAGCTGCTGACCATTGTGTTTCTTGTAGTCTGGTGAGGATGCCACGGTTGCTGTCCAGCTGCCAGTGCTTGCTGTAGCACTACTTCATGTTCAGCCGGTTGCGCTGCCTCATGTTCTGCCGGATACGCTGTCTCTGTGGGTGGCCAGTAGTGGGCGTGCATAAGGGTGTGCATGATCTGGGCCCACTCTTCACACATGTCGTTGTTATGGCTGCCAATGAGTGGTGAGCTGCCTTCAATGGGTGGTAGTGGTTGTCGTTGCAGGCTCGCTCGAACATTGAAGCCAGGGCGCTGTCTGTGATACGTAAGTTCGTTGGCTTCTTGATGTATTGTTTGTAACGTAGCCGTCGGAGTCTGGTAGCGTTGCTCCATATTGGCATTGGTCCACATGTGCGTCAAAGCCTTCTAGCTGTTGTAGGGTTGGTGTGTCCCAAGATGTTGCGTTCTTGGGGTATTCGAAGATGGAAATCCGCTTTTGGTTGTGTTGTTTGTTGTGGATTGTCTTGTCAGTGGGTTCCCTCTTCGTGCTGTTGCTGCGCCTCTAGGCGCTGTTTGTCTGCCGGCGTCTTGGCGTTCAATCGCGATCCAAACGATCTCTGGGCTCTGGTGGTAGTACAAGTGGATGAACTGCCTCTGGTGGCTGGGTTTGGTGAAGTCCCAACCGCTCAACAGGGGAATCCAAGCGCTTCCATGTGTGTTGCCAGCACTGCATCGCCAGCATAGACTTCCCAGAACTGCATCTGGTGGTTGTCGTGTGCCGTGAGCGCTGTCTCCAATGTTTGCCTGTGAGCTCGATGTAGCGCTGGAGTGTGTAACGCTCTGCTTGTGCTGGGTGTTGTGTCAGCAGGTTGAAGGTCTCCTCCATCATGTAGTTTAACTCGTAGCTTGTGTTGTCCGGTAGGTCTTGTAGACCTTGATCGAGTTGCAGGAGGTGTTCTCCTCTGGAGCCAGTGACGATGGGCGTCCATGGGCCTTCATCAACTCGCACGGTGTCTTCCATGAAGGTGAGCTGGAGCTTCATGGCCTTGAGGATAGGCCTGCCGATCAGGAGCGGTGTGGCTCCTGGAACAACGAAGTCCTCCTTGGATGCATACAGGCATGTGTACTGTCCATTGTGCTTCAAGGCTCTTGTCTCCGCCGACTGCAGGGTCTTCTCCGCAGGGCGGAAGTGGAAACTGGAAACGTTGCCGGTGGTAACTCTCCATGTTTTTCATGAGGATGTCATGGCCAAGGACCATGCAGCGTGCCCCACCGTCCATGGTGCCGAAGAGTCCCTTAGGGATGCACTGGTAGTCCTTCATTTCGAACTGGACCATCATGGCTGTCTCGGCTTTGGCCTTTTTGGTGGAATTGGTTGGGCTATTGGTGGCGCTTCTCTTTTGAGTCACTGAGCTGCAAAGTGTCCAGGTTGACCACATCGTAGGCAGGTCTTGTTCTGGCTCAAGGGAGCTTTGCCTCGGCTCTTGGCGTCACCTTTCTGCGGCGGTGCTCTTGTTCCCTTTCCTTTTCCTTTTCCTCCTTTGGAGCGAGGAGGGAATGGTCTTTGTCATTTGTGCCGTCGATGTGCTGGATGAAGTTGGGCTGTCGGTCAAGGCGACAACTGGATAGAAGCCTCTATTGTTGCGCAGCTCTGCAAAGCGGCGCCTTGCATCCAAGTAGGTGGCATAGGCTTCTTCGTACTCTGGGTCCTCTTCATCCGGGTAGTCCTCATCGTAGGCGGTGTAGTTGACGGTTTCGTCATCAGGCTCTTCATCGTATGCCTCATCAGCATACTCTTCATAGCCTTCTTCATAGTAGGCCTCTTCATTCTCAATCTCATAGGTCTCTTCCATGGGCGTCGGTGGTGTTGTCCTCGTACATGGTGTAGGCCTGAGCTGGTTTTCTCCATTTGCTGGCGCCTTTTCCTTTTCCACCTGTAGGGCGTTGAGAGTACCCAACTTTGCCACGGTAATCCTGGCCGTACAAGGCCTCTTCAACTTTGCTCTCCTCCAGGCTGGAGCCACATTGGCTTTGAACCAGGTGTTTCTGGTCTTGTGACAGACCACTTCTTCCGAGCATCAACCATCCGGCGATCTCGTGGCAGCTTGACTCCGTGTTTTTCGACTTCACGAAGCGCTTCTCTATGTTCAGCGCAAAACAACATCAAAGTTTGGTCGTAGCGCCTGCTGAGGCTGTAGAAGAACTTCTCGAAGGATCTGAGTTGCTCGACCCGCGTGAATCCTCCATCTTTGCCTTGACTAGTGCCTTCACTTGCCCATTCTGCGATCGGCTCAACCTGTTTCCAGGCGGTACCTGACACGGTGGTCAGGAGATTGATGACCCCTTCTTTGCTTCTTTTGCAGAACCATCTTCTTCTGGTATAGGTGGATTCTGGCTCTCCACCCTTTGTAATCCTGAGGCCTGTTGCTGAAGTTGGGCACCCAGGAACCTTTGCTTGCATCCACGCTCGGGGATGCTGCAGCTGATGAACTTGCCATACGATGAACATCGTAGCAGGAGCCCTAAGCCTTGCGGCTCCGCTACCAATTTGAGGCTGGGTAGCTCAACCAAGTGGAAAGTGTCTCTCGAAGTACACGATCACGTTCGAAGTGCGGCGCAAACAAAGTGAGGCGGCTTTTTCACCTCAGGCGGCCTATGGCTCAAGTGCTAGCGGCCCTCCCAGCTGTAGGGAAGGGAAAAGCAAGGCGGTTCGTGCCGAAAACGAGCGGGCTTCGGCTTTCAACCAACTCATGCCGCTGCTCAAACATGTGATGGCATCACATTCACAACATTAAAACACCATGCGCCCACAGCCAGGTCAGCACCTCCGTTTTGTTAGCTCTCGAGCCAAGTAGCTTAGGAAACCACAGGCCACACAAAAGAAAAGTCGGCCCTTTGGGCTCTGAATGCAATGCTGTGGCAGCAGTCGCGCGCTGATGGAGATCGCCATGGTGAAGAGGCCTCAGTGTCAGCGTGTAAAAAGGAATCAGTATCATTGAGATTCATTGATTACTCACATGGTTTGGGAGGTGATTGTGTAGCACGCTCATGCATGCTCGGTTTGTATGCAGCTTTCTGGCACAAGCTGTGGACTGTACTTTCGTTGGGCATGCCGTCAAAAGGCTATTGCACAGCATCCCCAACGGCATAGACAGCATGGCGATTCTGAACTCGTCCGATGAAGCGGTTTGTAGAAAGAAGCCGACGCTGCCCACCACCGCCACGTGAGGGACACTGCCCAAGACAGCACCAATCACGGGGCCCAGTCTCTCCACCAGTGCCGAGACAACGACCTTAACTGCTGGAGCCGGGGTTGCGGTCATGGGAAAATGGATACGCGGGATCAGCTGCAATTTCGTCCGTTCTGCTGTGACCTTCAATGTGAATGTGATTGTGAGATCCTTGATCTGTGCTGACTTGCTCTAATTTGCAGTTGCAATGCCGATGCTAAATCCTGTGTGACTTGTTGGTCTGCTAAATTCGTATCTTATCTGCCACGCTTTCCTGTGATTTCTCTCTGCCAGGCGGGTGAGCCACCTGATATGGTGGTTTCACGCGATTCCTACCTTTTATCTTTGGCAAATGATGGTTGCTTGGATGAGTGTCAAGTCTCCACTCTTCTATTGGAATTCGGAGGATGGGTTATATATTACAATCAAGCTTAATTGGACGGAAATCGGGGTAGGATTCCATCATATAGCCCGATGTGATGCATGCTCCAAGTCACAATAACCAGGCCGGCAACTGTAGCTGATGCGATCTCCACCACCCAAGTCATGCTGTGAACGGCTTTTGCCAAGCACTGGGTGCCCCTCTACAAAGAGTTGGGCAATTGAGCTGAGTTGGTTCTTGGGAACCACACGCCCCGAGCCGTTTCGGTAGAGAGGTTAGTGCACTCGATCTGAGAACAACTCGACTGGCCAAGATGGCCAAGACCGACCACTCATACAACTCAGGGGGTCCGCACTTTCAAAGACGGTCACTAACCTCTCTTTGTATGCTAGACTGATAAACCACACTGTTGGTGTGACTGCAACTGCTGGAGCCAAAGAATCCCATTGTTTTCCTGTATGTATGCAACCCATTCCAACTGATCCAAGCATTGCAGGTGCTAACTCGACAGCCGCAGAGTTGCACCTGTCGCCCTCCGTCTCAAAGCTCCTGAGCCAAAGAGGTTCTGCTGATTCCGCGTAAAATATGCCTGAGGAGTGTACAGGAGCCCTTTGCCATGAGGGCCTTTGGCATCCAGTCGAAAATCACCAAGCAGGGGACACAACCTGGGCAGCTCGCAAGCTCGCAGGTTCGCAAAGGGGGTCAACCAACATGCCAAGGCACGCCACCAGAGCCTCGCCTTCAGCATCCTCAAGTTCAAGTTGGAGGGGGCTACACCTCCACAAACGAACCTAGATGATCCTTAGATGGCTGGAAATCGACTTAACTCATCACATCACTACTCACAAAAAAGTACAGGATGTAAGATGATGTAAGGAGCAAAAACTTGAGTGTCCACAGGTTCTTGATGTTCTCTGATTCCTTTTCGAGCTTGGGATATCATTGCACATTGGCAAGCTTCATGGAGTGCCCTCGGAATACTAAGGAACTGTGAAATGTCAGCACTGGTGGCAGCTCCCCCTCAAGATTCTTGTGTTCTGCAAAAACCTCAATGACACTGTAAGTCTAGAGTCTAGAGACTTCAACATGATTCATGTATGCCTTATGCCGCCGCATGCTCGATGCTCTTCTTTCTCGGCAGGATCACTTCACACCCGATTGATACATAATTTTCTGGAAATCCCAGAAGTAAAATCCGTTGGTTCGATTCCTCAAATTCCATTACCCTTGGCTTCGCCATCTATCACTTGTACCACACACGCATCACCCGTTCACATCATCGTCCTTTCAATCGGCTCCTTGGCTTTGATACTCTTGGTCTCAACAGTGGCCAGCGCCCATCGGATTTCATCGGCCAAGGCCTCGCTGCACTGCGGACGGCTGCGGTGAAACGACGTATCAAGAAGCTGCCATGTTTTTCACGCTTTCCATTGTAAACCATAGAAAGACCAAAAAACATGTAGGATTTTGGAGGTCAAAGGCAGGTGGGAAACAGTGTTTGGGTGTGGACCAAGAGTCAAGATTAAGCAACTGGTATCTCTTGCACAAGAAAAGTCTCTCTCTCTCTATATATATAGCTTTTTGTTTTTCTTCTTCTGCTCCGGGAGCTTCTCCGAACTTCTCCGATAAATAAAATATTGTGTTTAAAGCCGTTTATTTCAATTGTTATTCCATTCTGGCAGCAAAAAGTATTAGAGCATTTCATATTATGATTGTTAATCCGCCGACCCCACACCGTGGGGTGAGGCGTGACTGTTGATGGATAGCCTTAGCCTTAGCCTTGGCCTTAGCCTTAGCCTTACACCTTAGCCTTAGCCTTATCCTTAGCCTTAGCCTTACCTCCCCTACCCCTCCGGACCCTTGTTGCAGAAATGCCACAAAATGGTGACGTGGATCGTCCAAGATTTCTCCATCCCAATTGATTTACATCTTGGGGCATCCTCTCCACCCGCGCGGTAAAATAAGCGCGGTCCAAAATGGTCCCGGGCTCGAGTCCCGGGGTGGTCGCGGCGTGATCCTCGCCAATACCCTTGGTTTTTCCTAGATTTTGTCACGTTTTCTGTTGGATTTGTAGGATTTTCAAAGGCTTTTCCAGCATTTTCCTAGGATTGCTCTTGGCTTTCTTTAGGTTTTGTCACGTTTTCGGCTGGATTTGTATGCTTTTCAACGGATTTTTTTAGCATTTCCTGTTGTTTTTGGGTTCCCAGATTTCCCCACAAAATTGCTAACCTATTGCTAACCCATTTACCCCCATTTGCAAACGTTTTCCGCTGGATAGTGTTATTCCTGCTTGCTTGGGTGTTACAGGAACATATCGTGACTCTAAAGATCTCCTATCTGCGGTCTGCAACCTTTTTCTGCTCTTCACTAGCTGGCGTGCTGCCAGCTCGCCGGTGGAACTGACCTGGCCGGGACAGCGCTCCTTCTGTAGTGCTTTTTGGGTTCACATATTTGCCTACAAGAATGCTAACCCAAATGGTACCCAAACCGGGAGATGTACATATCCCACCTGCGCTTTTCGTGGATGGGCCGCCGACCCCAAGGGAAAATGTAGTGGCAGGGTTGGGTCCCGGGATGGTCGCGGGCAGGAGCCTACGAGTGGAATTGGTGTTTCATAGAAGTGGGTACGTTTTCCGCTGGATTTGTAGGATGTCAAAGGTTGTTTTGGGTTCCCAAATTTGCCCAGAAAATTGCTAACCTATTTTCTTCCGTTGTTATACTCGTGCCGTTGACGCGCGGCGCCTACCGCTTCGACGCGTCAGCAACCGACAGCGCTCTGAACACAACTGTGGCATTTGAATGTACCCTATACCGCAAAAGGAATCCACGAGGTCACCAGGTCCGCGCCGGCGGACCCTCCCCTGAGTCTGCGGATCAACTAAATTTAGTAGGCCAAAAAATTACTTAATTTCCATTAGTAAAGTAAAAAATTAGCAAAAAAATCAAAGTAATTTTTCCATAGTAAAATTTAGTAAGACAAGTATTTTAAATTAGTAGGGCTAGTAATTTAATTTAGTAAGGCTAGTAATTTTTTTAGTATGTGAAACATGTGTTGTCATATGTTGTTTTTTGTGTGGTTTCTGTTATTTCTGTGTTGTTTTGTTTTTGTTGTTTTGTTCGTTTTGTTGTTTTCTTGTTGTTGTTGGCTGTGTTTAAGTTTTTGCAAGAGTAATGTCACCAAATTTGTTCACTTTTGACTCATGTCACATGTCGCATGTTCTTGAAAACCGCCTTGTTTGTGTTCATGATCAACCTCCCCCTGTCTATCAAACAGGCTGTTGACAATTAGGGTTTGCTTTTCTCTTTTGCCATGTTTGAACTTCTTTGTACTCCCCCACTCCCTTGCAATCCACTCTGGGATCTCACCGGCAGCAAACATCTGCGTGAACTTCTGTTGCTTGACTCGGTCTCTGGTCTCTGCACTCTTGCTCTTCTCTGGGTCTACTTCTGGGTCCTCCTCCTTCTCATTCTCTTCTTATGCTTCCTCCTCTTTGTCCTTCTCCTCAGGCACAGGCACAATGCCCACCTTCCAGCTTTGCCAGGTTTGTTCTTGTCCTGAAGGTCGCTTGAAGGGTTTTGGCACTGATTTGGGTGGCTTGGGCTTGGACACAGTTGACTTCTTGATAACCTTGTTCTTTGCCTTTTCCTTGGGCGCAGTCTTGGGAGCAGCTTTTGCCTTTGTTGATGATTTCTTCAGGACTGAACCAGGAGTGGCAGAAGGCTTCTCACTATCTTTCTCTGACTTTGCTGGTGTTTGGGCCACCATAGATTCATTTGGCATTCCATCAGCCATGAGCGCAGTGGATCACTCACAATACATTACAAACTCTCAAAACAAAAAGCGCAGAAAGTTGTAGGAAGATTGAAGATGGCACTCAATGTACTGTTCACAAGAACTGCCCACCAGTTAATGACAGAAGTTACTGAAGAACAAGCCACAAGAAATTACACATCTCCAAAACAAGAACTTCTGACAAGTAAATGACACTCAAGACCTGTTCACAAGCAAATGCGCATCTTCACAACAAGAACTGCTCACAAGTAAATGAAATTATTCATAGGAATTCTATTATTGGAGAACTGCTCTCAAGTAAATGTTGAAGGGTTATGTAAAAATTTGCTCAAGAGTACTGTTACATGCCACTGCATTCGTAGGTAAAATGTGCAAAAAGAACTTCAACAACTATATACAGTTTGTATGCAGTTTATATGTAGTTTATACCCTATAGATCAGCTGAGGTTAAAAATAACCTCTGAGGTTATTCCCAAAAAAAACCTCAACCATTGAATAACCTCAAGTTCTTGAGGTTATTTTTTGAGGTTATTCTTAAAAATAACCTTGAGGTTATTTCTAAGAATAACCTCAAAAACATTGGACATCTTTCTGAAATCTTGGAGGTTTCCAATATGATTAACATCAAATAGTTTGTCAAATAGCTAACAAATATATCCAACCAGCCATCAATATTTCAGCAAAAGTTCCAAATCTTTACCAATAACTACAATATTTCAGCCAAAAACCCAAATGCTTACACATAACTGCAAAGGACAAGCCTGGGTTCCATGTAAAACAACCACAGAATGTTTGCAACTTTTTTGTTTTCTATGTGTGGAAACCAGAAGGAAAAGGAACAATCGCAAAAAAAGGAAACAGAAACGGACGAGGAAAAGGAAAAGGAAAAGGATCAGGAACAGGAAAATGAAGAGGAAAAGGAAAAGGAAAAAAAACAGCAAGGAAAATGAAAAGGAAAAACGAAGAGGAAGATGAAAAAAAAACAAGGAAAAGGAAAAAAGGAAGAGGAAAAGGAACAAAAAAAGGAAGAGAGAGAGGAAAAGGAAAGGGAACATGTTTGTTGGGGAGAACGAAAGTGCGGAAACAAAATCTAAAGACTAAAACTGTGGGCAATTTTTTTGGTGAGGAGAGTTCAGGAAGCAAAATCTACTGAATAAAACTGTGGGATTTTTTTTGGTGATGAGAGTTCAGGAAGCAAAATCTAATGACTAAAAC